GCCTCACCCCTGGAAGGTCACTGGGGTGCCAGATAACAAGGAGACTGAGAGGAATAATCATTCTGTCACTTTGCTGGGACTGACAGCAAACTCTCACATGACTCATAACCTCCCTGCCTCCTGGGAAACTGTGTGAACAGTCACTGAGTTAGAAAAGAGCCATCTTTTGTAAGCCAATTCAAAGCAGTTTTTTGAGGGAGGGAATTAATTTGCTCGTGTCCATAGGGAGTAACAGCAAAATAAACTGAAGGAATCGGAATGATACTGCCTGGTTTTTGTATTACCGAAATAAATGTAAATTATATATATATATTAGAATGTACAAAAGGATCTTTCTGTGGAATAACAGAAGGAACACTTAAATTCAAGCTTTACAACTGAGACTTCACGTGTAAGACAGAGCCTGCATCTGCTGGAAGGTCATTAGTGCCCTGCCAAGAGCAAAGACATTTCTTCTTTAGATCTTGGCTAACTGCCCAGCCATCTGAGCAAAGAATAGTAACCTGTGTTCACATTGTAACATTGTGAAAAGTCAGTGGGATTCTCCCACCCTCCTTGTCAACTGCAGTATTGCAAAAGAGCTGAAAGAATCAAGTGCGCACTTTCATCAGACATTCAGACACTAACCTAGGCTTCATGCTACTTTTAACAAGATGGAATTACCTACCTGTGAAAATAATTTCTCCAAAGATACCAAAGGAGGCTGCTGAGATGGAATTAGTAGCTGTTCATGAGTTAGTTAAACCCCTTCAGTAAGGACTGACACTGTGAACATATTTTCAGTAGCTAAAATTAACTCCTAAAATTTACTGCTTTGTTCTGAACATTTCTGTGAGGTTAAACTTTGTAGATAGTGATATTCAATCTCCCCCTCATTTCACGTGTTATATTTTTCTTTTCCCTTACCTTCATTCATTCAACAAGTATTTATTGAACACATTTTTTGAAGGAGGAAATTATTTGATTGTGTACATAGGAGTGACAACAAAATAAACTGTACAGGAGTGCAAATTTGAGTCAAAGGCAGACTGTCCTCAAGGGGGCTTCACAGTCTAGAAGAGAGTGATAAAAAACCACAGGCCATCAGAGTCCTTACGGGGAACTTCTGTGGTGACAGACCTGTGACTATAGTACTACACACTGTTTTTAGTGCTTTGTTAATTCTATTTGTTAGGTAGCTGCTGCTGCTATTATCGGGGGAACTTCTGTGGTGACAGACCTGTGACTATAGTACTTGCTACACACTGTTTTTAGTGCTTTGTTAATTCTATTTGTTAGGTAGCTGCTGCTGCTATTATCTCCATTTTACTGTGGGGAAACAATAAAGAGAGTTTAATAACTCTGCCCAAAAGCATACAGCTAATGAGTTGTGGAGCAAGGTCTTAAACCCAGAAAGTCTGGCTCCAGAGGCCATCTCTTTAACTGCTGGTCTCTACTTCCTTTCTAGCCCACTGTTTTAGTTGGGTTATTCTCTTGTTTCCTTCATGTGGTTCACTAGTGGATTCCCCGGCCTGAAATAGTACCAAGTACATGGTAGG